CTCTCCCCTCCACCTCTAACCCCTTCCCTCCCTCCCTCCCCCTCCCCCCTCCCTCCCTCTCCCTTCCCTCCCTTCCTCCCCTCCCTCCCTCCCCCCTCCCTCCTTCTTTGTCTTTATTTTTTTATTTTTATTTTTTTGGCTTTTACAAGACAGGGTTTCTTCTTTGTCTTTAAATGACCCACTGAGTGCATCCACCTTCCAGTGACCACACCCCTCATCCCCGGCAGCATCAGTTGCCAATATTCCTCAGTAAGGGGCGGGTTCTCCTGAGCCCCTCCCCACCCATGCTGCAATGCTAACCGCTTCCCCTTGTGTGAGTCTTCTGCAGGTAACCGTAGCTGCAGTTCACGAAATCGAGGGCCCTGCCATGACCAGAAGACAGCATCTTACGGGACTGCTCTGCCCCCAGATCTTATTCATTCTGCCCTCTCTTCATGTTGTCCCCTGAGCCGTAGCGTGGGGTTGCTGTGTAGATCTCTCAGCTAGGGCTGAGCACTCAGCAGCACATCGGTCTTTGCATTAACTGTATACGCTGCAAACGGGCTTCTCCCTGGGCATGGCAGAGCTCACATTCAATCCAGCACTCAAGAGGCAGCAGCCTGTAATGAGTCTTTCTCTGTTCCGACAGCCAGCTCCCAAATAATGACACGGAGATTTCTTGTTAATTATGAAAGCTTGGCCTTCACCTAAGCGTGCTTTTAACTAGCTCTTATAACTTACTGTCAGGGACCTCCAGCCATCAGTCAGCTAGGCTGTATCACGTACTCATAGAGAAGACGTGACACTAAGACCACCCTGCCACCCCTTCTGACATAAAGCATATTCCAAGTAACAAGCCTGGGGTTTACCAGTCAGTTAAAGATTAGCTTAATTGGAAAAACTACAAGGTCCTCAGAAGATAGGCCTGAGCAGTAGTAAATTGTAATAGATAGGATCGGACCCTGCTGTCAGGTTAACAAGCAACATAGGAATCCTTACTCCTGACCTCTTGCCCTGTAGATTAGGTAGCCAGGCAACGCAGCAGACCACCTCTCCCACTGACCTCTTGCCCCTGCAGCTGCAAGCACATCCTCTGCCTTTCCCTCCTCAGTTCTCCTATATAAATCCCCTTGTGATGAAATAAAGTTGTCGCCTTGATCAGAATCCTGTCTTGGCGTCCATTCCTGTATCCCCTGTCCTCCATCTTTCTCCTAGGTGTCCACCAGACCCACGTTGAATGTCCTGCGGGTTGGGACAACTTACATTAACCCATTTCTGCATTCTGTCATTTCTTCCATGTCTCCAGGTTTCTCTTGTGTACCTAGACTCATCTCCTGCTTCTCTCTCTGCCTGGAAGTCCCACCTAGATCTCCAGCCTAGCTGTTGGCCTTTACCTCTTTATTAAACCAATCACAGCAATACACAGTCACGGTGTGCCATATCCTACAGTGTTTATCTAAATAAAAGGGAAAGGATTTAACTCTAACATAGTAAAACTATATACAATATGGCCGGGCGTTGGTGGTGTACACATTTAATCCCAGCACTCAAGAGGAAGAGGCCGGCAGATCTCGTTGAGATCGAGGCCAGCCTGATCTACAGAGCAAGTTCCAGGACAGCCTCCAAAATAATACAGAGAAACCGTGTCTCAAAAAAACAAACACACACACACACACACACAACCCAAAACACTCAACCCCCCCAAAAAACTATATACAATAAGAACAAGTATCAAATAAGAATTTCATTTACAATGTTTAGTCCATTTTTCTATTTGGAAAATTTGGAGAAAATACTGTATTGTTTTTCTATCAAAACTTTTATTTCCATCCTAAGAATATCTTTTAACAGCTAAAAGCATCTTAACATCTTCTTAGATAAACAACTTAAGCTCTTGTGTCTCTCAGCCATATAAACTTACCTATTGACTCTTCATCTCTTTACTAACGCAGTCACAGCAATGCACCTTAACACAGTGTACAAAGATTCCACAACAGAAGCAGGTGGATCTCTGTGAGTTCGAGGCCAGCCTGGTCTGCATAGACTATAGTGAAACCCTGTCTCAAACATCAACAACAGTGAAGAAGAAAGAGCTTCGCTGACTGAGGAGAACTGTCGGAGGCCTGGGGCCCGTGGCCTCCTGAATCATGGACTTCTGACCAGGCTTACAGTATTCTCTCCTGTAGAGCCATCTCATATCCAGACAGAAAGCAGATACCCCATAACCCTGATGCACTAATGCACCCGTGGGCATATCTTTCCCGGCAGGTCAGTGCTGTAGCGTACAGAGGTCACTTCTAGATAAATCTACTGATGGCTTTTCTCTCCCAGTGACCTGCATACCATTTTCTGGGACCCTGACACTTAGCCAGCAAGGAGTAAGGTTTCAGATCAGTTCTAGCTCGATTTCTCTGTGTCCTGCATCCAAAGTGTGGTGTATCCTCAGCAGTAAGGTCACTAAAAACATATATTATGTATTTATCTTTATTCTAAGTCTATGGGTGTTTTGTCTGCACGTATGCATGTGCACTGGGTGTCTTTGTGGTTCATGCTGAGTTTAGAAGAGGGAATCTGACCCCCTGGGACTGGGCCATCACGTGGGAGCTGGGCATAGTTCCCTGTAAGAGCAGCCGAACTCCTAACTGCTGAGCCGTCTCTCCAGCTCTGATCTTTTAGATCACATTTTATTGATTTCATGTGTGTCGTTGTGTGTGTGTGTCTCTGTGTCTGTGTGCATGTCACAGCACACACATGGAGGTCAGAGGGCAACATGGAGCAGTCAGCCCTCCTCCCCCACCGTGTGGGTCCCAGGGACCAAACTCAGCTCATCAGACTTGGTCGCCAGTGCCTTTATTGCTGAGCCCTCTTGCAAGGCCCCTCTTGATTGTGTCTGAAGCCTGGGTTGGAATTGAATTCATGGCGATCTACCTGTCTCAGACTCCCAAGTTCTGGGCTCATAGGTGTCAAAACCCAGGAATGCCCCACACTACTTCCCTCATGGAGTCTCGGAGTTACAGCATCCTGTAACGAGTTGGCCGCCTGCACAGAGCCCGTGCACAGGGAACGTCTGCAAGATGGCTGAGACTAATCTCACTGTTGCTAAAGCTTGCTGCTGCCCCCCCCCCCCCCCGCAACACACACTTGGAAGAAGAGGTTGGGAGGGACTCTATCCTCAGACCTCTCTGGTCTCTGCCTCTGCAGGGTGCAGTGACAGCCGTGACAAAAGCCAGGCCTTGGATGAGAGCAGATATGGTGTCCCTGTCAACTGTGGATCAGAGAGGCACACCGTGTCAACTGGTGAGTGGATCAGAGAGGCGGGGGGGGGAGTCCCCGCTGGGGATGCCAAGACAGAATTAGCATTTACTTCTCTTGTCCCTTCTCCCCGCCTTATGCGGCATCTCCCCAGGAAACATCTGGACTCCACTGAGGGAAGAACTGGCAGCCTCAACCTCAGACCCCCGTGCCAGCATCCTAGTAGGCGCCCTGGCCCAGGGAGGCGGGGCTCAGAGCTGGGAGGGCTGCGGCTGGGAGTAGAGCGTGCGTCAGGTGGTCAGTCGGGGTCTTCTCTCCCCTCCTCCTCCTTCCCCCTTCTGTCTCTCTCTGACTCAGAGCTTCATGTAATCCACACCGGCTTGGACCTTGATATGTAGCTGGGGACGTCCTTGAACGTCTGGTTTTCCTGCGTGCATTCCCTGCGTGCTGGAGTTACACCATTGTGTGTGTGTGTGTGTGTGTGTGTGTGTGTGTGTGTGTGTGTTCACGGACATGCACTTGTGTGACTGACCCTCTAGCCCAGGCTGGTCTAAAACCCTAGACCTCTCTTGCTGGGATGACAAATGTGAACCAGCATGCCTAAGAGGGCTACTCTTAATTTTCTTCCTCCCGTCTCTCCCCAGCCCCTGGGCCGCATGGGCCAGCCAGCTGACGGGGGGCTGCCGCGGTGTCCCTGGCCTCTGAAGACACCTTCTGCACAGGGCTTGAGCTGCTTGTGACAGGGGCGCAGAACTGGGATTTGGATGTAAGGCTCGTGGGAGCAGTCTTGTGGGAGCCCCACCCTCCCACCCTAATTTCCACTAAGTTGTGTCCCGCCCATCCCCCTTTCTCTTCCTTTGTGTCTTTGTGGTACTGGAGACTAAACCTAGGACCTCTTTTGTGCTAGGCAGGGGCTTTAACCTCTGAGCCACACCCCAGAGCCTCACTGGGGGATTCTAGGCAGGGGCTTTAACCACTGAGCCACACCCCAGAGCCTCACTGGGGGATTCTAGGCAGGGCCCTGGCCTCTGAGGCACACCCCAGAGCCTCACTGGGATTCTAGGCAGGGCCCTGGCCTCTGAGCCACACCCCAGAGCCTCAGTCAGTTCTCAAGGAAACTCAGGACAAAAGGCTGTGATGTCTTTTAGCATACCAAAGCTCCGGCTGGCAGCCAGGTTCACTCTGTACCTGTGGCTCCTCTCTGCTTGTCCCTAACCTAAACCTCTCCAAGCCCTGGAACGTAGCTTCCCTCTTCCAGCTTCTCATTGCCGTAGAAACCTGCCCAATCAGGACAGGAGCTCTCTTAGTCCGCTGGCCCTCTCTCCTCTCCTCTGCCCACCCCCTGCCCCCATGACTCAGTTCAGTCTGGGCTCTCCCAGATGCCTCTGGCTGTATCCCAGATTATCTCTGACTGTGCGCTCCTTTATATTAACAATAAAACCTTCTCCTCAACATACCTTGGCGAGGTCAGTCATCATTTCATTCATTAACCCTGACCCCAGCTCCCTCACTGGGGAATCTAGGCAGGGGCTCTACTCCTGAGCCACACCCTGCCTCTCACTGGAGTGTTCTAAGCCAAGGGGCTCTACCACTGACACCTACAAGCTGCCCTCCCTCATCTACCGCTGACCTACAAGCTGCCCTCCCTCATCTACCGCTGACCTACAAGCTGCCCTCCCCAAATTTCAGCCTGTGCCACTACCTCCCAGGGTCCACCTCAGCACCTTACGCGCTCGCTATTCGTCCTGCACTCGTAAAAACAGCTCGTATCCAGAAAGGAAATGCCATATTTATTTCCTGTTCTTTACACAAGACTGTCCACACGAGCATTGCCTCCTTCCTAGCTACCTTTAGACCACGTGGGCACCCTGACTTCAAAGTCAGGAACTACATCTCCCGAGACCTCTTAGCAGGCTCGAGAGGGGGTAACTTCTGTCGCCAGGGAGCGCAGTTCCGCTTCACCGGGGTGCTAATTAAAAGGCCCGCCGGGGAGAGCAGATTAAGTGGTAATTGGCAGATAATGAAGAAGGCACTAGGGCGCCTGCCTTTGTTCTTGGCCCTTAGGGGGAGGAGTTTTGCGCTCTTTGCCAGTGCGATAGTGAGCTGGCTGGAGGAACAATCTTGAGACATGTGGGTCAGAGGGAGGAGGCTGGGACTTGTAGTACTGGGTTTGGGGCTGAAGGACGTTGCGGGGGTGCTCTGGGGAAAGAACAAGCCCTGGACACTCCCCAGGTTGGGCGCGGGGCGCAGCAAGCAGCTTCCCCACACCCCAGGTAAGGGGTGGAGCTGCAAGGCTGCTGTGGATTGGCGAAGGCAGGGGTGTGCGGCAATCGCTGATTGGCTGCCGCGGGGGCGGTTGCTGGTGTGGGTTCGGCTCGGCAGTTTGGAGATGGCACGGGAGGAGGGAGGGTTTAGCTGTAGAAAGCCGGAGATTGGGGGAGGCGGGAGGGCGGCATAGGCAAGGTCTGCGGGGGAGGGTGTGTGGTTTGGTTGCTGTGGCCTGGAGCAGTGGGAGGAACAGTATTCTGCATTGGGATTTGGGAGTAATTGTAGCCGTAGAGTCTGAGAACCTGCTGCAGAATTACATAGACCTAGAGACTTAACCTGTGCATTGTGTGTGTGTGTGTGTGTGCGCGCGCGCGCACGTGTGTATAAGAATGTGGATGTGTGTGAGTGTGTGTATGTGACTGGGGATTGGGAAAAAACTTGTGGCACGGTGACCACGAAACACAATATGGAAGGACAGTGCCACAGGTTTGAATTGCAGGGTGCAGCTGGGCTAGACAACACTGTAATCCCTCTACTTGTGAAGTTGAGGCAGGAGGATGGCAAGCTTGAAGCCTGCCTAGAGTACAGAGTGAGACCCTGTGTAAATGTATTATGTGTATGTGTGATTATGTTTTTAAATGATGCTGGCAGCAGAGTGGGCCTGATGCATGAATTGGCTAACCACCTCTGAGACCCTGAAGTTGGGGAGCTGTGGATGAAGGGGTGTCGCTCGCGCACCCTAAGCTGTAGGCTAATGAGGTTCTGTAATGAGTTGGTGTGTGAGAGCTTTTGACCTTTTTTCTCTAAGGAGACTGGAAGGAAGCACAGTGAATCATGAACTGTGTGTGTGTGTGTGTGTGTGTGTGTGTGTGAGAGAGAGAGAGAGAGAGAGAGTGTGTGTGTGTGTGTGTCTTGTAATTACAAAGAACATGTTATCTCCTTGTGCAGACTGGAGTCTTTTATCCCCAGAGTCCTACTCTTTTGTTTCATTTGAGACAAGAGACTAGCTCTCTCACCTAGGATGCTCTCACTTTGGAGTAAATCCCCTGCCTCAGCTTTCAGAGTGTTGGGATTGCAAGAAAGTGCCACCAGGCCGGGCTTCAAATGGCCTTTCTCTGCACCCACTGATATTTCTACTGAGCTTTTCCTTTTTATCAAAGTATTGGTGACAAAAGGAGCTCTCTGATGCTTGCGCGGACAACTTGGCCACTGATGAAGTCCCTCAGAAGATGCTTTTTTGTTTTGTTATTTGGGAGAGGGAAGCTACATTCCAGGGCTTGGAGAGGTTTAGGTTAGGGACAAGCAGAGAGGAGCCACAGGTACTGAGTGAACCTGGCTGCCAGCCTGAGCTTTGGTATGCTAATTTATTTTATCTGTATGAGTGTATTGCCTGTGTGTTTGTAAGTGTGTGCCTAGTGCCTGTGGAGTTACAGACAGTTGTGAGCCACTATGTGGGTACTAGGAACCAAACTCGGTCCTCTGGAAGAGCAGTCAAGTGTTTTTAACACCTGAGGCCTCTTTCCAATCCCATTTGTTTTGTGTTGAGACAGGGACTCACTATATAGCCCTGGCTGGCTTGGAACTCATTAGGTGGACCAGGATGGCCTTGGACTCACAGAAATGCTCCTGCCTCTGCCTTCAGAGTATTGGGATTAAAGGCGTGCTCTACTACACCGAGAAATATATATATTTTTTAGGTACGGAGATGTTATCTCCGTGGTTAGTTCGTGTTCCTAACATACACGAGGCTATGGGGTTAGTCCCTAAGTACTACAAAAGCAAAACAAAAGCCAAGACAAATGCCTTGTTAGGCGTGAGTGTGGAGCAGGGCAGGGTGGAGGCCAGGAGGGAACGAGTGTCTGACAATTCTGGACTGTTCCAGCGTGTGTTCCTTGCAGCAGAGCCCGGGTCCCCGAGGTCCTATAACTCAGAAAGGTTTGGCTGAAGGGAGGCCCGCAGAAAGCAGCCATCTGCGGGAGGGGGCGTGAGCAGGGCGGGGCCGGAATGTCTTTCACCAGGCCGCGCCTGGAGCGGACACAGTCACCGGCACACGGATCATGGCTGCAGGCGTCCTACGGCAGGTGGGTGCGCGGCGGCCGACGGGCGCCGGCGCCTCCGGGGAACCCGATGGGGGGGCACACTTCCGGATGGACCACTGGCGTGCAGCCTTTCCGGCTTGGCGTCACTGCTCTGTGCTTCGGGTTCCGCTGCGGGACAGAGGCGGATGGGGCCCCTTGGAAAGGAGTGCCGGTCTTTAACAGGCGGCAGAGTGGGCAGACGCGGGTGGGGTGCGTGAGGATCCTGGGACCGGGAGGTCGGAAGTGGGGAGCATGAGGCCTGTAATGGGAGAAGCACAGGGTGGAGCGCGTGCGAGGAAGTTTTGGCTCGGGGCGTGCAGCCTGCGGCTCTTAAGGACCAGTCCCTTGTGTTCCTCTAGACGAGGGGCCCAGGACCTCTGGGGCTTGGCGGATGACTGGGCACAGTGTCTTGGCTAGGAATTGCACCCAAGACCTTATTTCTTGAAACAAAAAGCACATAAAGACGTGTGTCAGTTTGTCTGAGGCTCTGTACCTGGTTTTGTAATCCGAAGCAAGCGTCTGTATGTCTAAATGACACAATTCTCCAGGCAAGGGCACTTCTGTACTTTCTGATGGTGTCAAGCTGCAGAGTTTTGGGGAGTCTGTGATCTTAACAGAACATGATTTACAAGCGAGGACGCAAACAGCTGGGCCGTAACGTTGGAAGAATGTGTTCTCTTAGCTCGTTCCTGACTATCGGACACTCTGAGTCCAGGCTTGTGATTACTGAACAGACCTTCCCATCTCCTAGCTCTTTTTTCTTTTCTTTTTCTTTTTCCAGACAGGGTTTCTCTGTGGCTTTGGAGCCTGTCCTGGAACTCACTGTAGACCAGGCTGGCCTCGAACTCACAGAGATCCGCCTGCCTCTGCCTCCTGAGTGCTGGGACTAAAGGTGTGCGCCACCACTGCCTGGCCATCTCCAAGTTCTTAATGACAGATAGAAATGATCTAGAGAGACACTATCTTAGGATATGACAGGGACAACGAGCTAGGCTCTGGTGGTATGGTGGCCTGGGGTGGGTACAACTTTACTGTACTGGCATAGAACTCTGATGGCATAGAGCTGGGCAGTTTTATCCTGTAATGTAGGAGCTCTGAACATGAGCCCACTCAGAGCTGTGAGTGCCCAGGGTAAGTGTCCACATGGCGAAATCCTAGAGCATAAGGGAGGCTGCTGGCTGGGGTTTGGCAGGGACTGTCTTGCAGGGACTGGTCTAGACATTAGAATAGCTCTTGGGTCTGAAAGAAACAGCTAAACAGCCCTGAGACTTTCCAAGACAATCCTAGTCTGTAGAGGGGGGGACATGTTGTGTTTGGAATGGGATAGGACATAGTTCTGCAAGGGACGGTCCTGAGGTGACAGGGGTTGGGATACAGAGAGCACTGGACTTGTGCAAGGCTGATGGAGTCTAAGCTAGGATCAGGACAGCCTGGAGCTGGGTTAGCACTTCTGCAATCTGATGAGAAAGCATGGGGTGATCTGAGAGTGACCACCCCTCATATGTCTCTGGGTGGCCTGAGACTTTGCTGACCTGTGACGGAGAACGGGGCTATGAGAAGACCCCCGCTGATCTTTGGCGGACACCTGGGCTGTGTTGAGGTTCAGCAGTTCAGGGGCTCTGGGACATGCAGGGAGCATCCCCTTTCGTTTCTTAACTATGCTTCTACCAGTTTACGATTCATCCCTGTAGCCCACCTGCCATCTAGGTGCCTCCTTTGGGCTTAGTTCCCATAGTGTAGGTCAGAGAGGGTGTTGTCTGAGCCATAGAATTGCCCCAGGAAGGTGACATAGCACAACACTGTCACCAAGGCTCTGTGGCCAGTTCAGATGAATACTCTCCGGACCTTGGCACAAGGTCTGCACTGTGCCTCAGGGCTGCGTGATGTTTCCCTACCTGTTTTCTCCCTCATTAGCTCTGTCTGGGCTCGAATTTGTGATCTCCCTGTCTCAGCTTCCAGAGATCTGTGACTATAGGTGTGTACCATCAAAACCAGTTTAGAATTTCTTTGCCTGGATTTCTGCTTCTCCCTCCCCTCCTAGTGTTGCCTGCCTGTCCTGTTCCCTGTTATTTTTTCCGTGTGTGCATGTGTGTGGACCCACGTGTGTCATGGTGCCTGTGCGGAGGAGGTCAGAGGATAAAGAGTCAGTTCTGTCCTTTCCATGGGCTGTCCTTGGGCTTGGGGACAGATGCCCTTATCCAACAAGCCACCTCAATAGCCATTTCTTTTTAATCCTATCTATTTTGATATCTCTTGGCCTGTATTTCTTTTCTTTTTGAGAAAGGGTCTCACAAGTAGACCAGACTGACTTTGAACTCAGAGATCTTCCCGGCCTTGTCTTCCCAGTGTGGGGAGTGAAGGTGTGCACCCCATACCTGTCTCCTTCATTTCATTATTATTATTAAGACAGGGTCTTATATAAGCCAGGCTGGCCTCAAACTTGCTACAAAGTCAAGGATGGCCTTGGATTCCTGGTCCTCCTCTCTCTACCTCCCAAGTGCTGGGATTGCAAGGTTTCTGTGCTGCCAGTGAAAAAGGAAACCCAGGCACTCCTGCATGCTAGACAAACATTCTACCAACTGAATACACCCCAGCTCCATTTCCTTCCATTTCTTCATCTCAGTATCTCTTTTCTGCAGTGTTTAGCTTCTCTGACTCACTTTGTTAAACAATTTTTTTTTAATTCTCTCTGCTCTTGCCTCCATGCTGACTGCCCTACCTAGTGTGGGTTTCTTTTCCCCATATTATGAGTCTGGAGCAGGGTGACAGTGTTGGGCAAGCTTCAGTCACCACCCAGAGACCAGAGGCATTGTCACTCTCAGATCACCCCAGAAGCCGTCAGTCACCACATGATTAAGACCACATCAGCGACCAGGTGTTGTGGGGGCACGCCTTTAGTTCCAGCACTTCGGGAGGCAGAGGCAGGCAGGGCTCTGTGAGTTCAAGGCCAGCCTGGTCTACAGAGCGAGTTCCAGGACAGGCTCCAAAGTTACACAGAGAACCCCGGTATTGAAAAACCAAAAATAAAAAAATTAAACCAAAATGAAAAACACCCATATCTGAGGGCTGGGGAACATGGGCATAGTTGGTAAAACGCTTGCCTCATGAGCATGAAAAACCTGAGTTTGATCCCTGGAACCCAAGTGAAAAAAGTAGGTGTGGTGACTCTTAAATATCATCACTGATGAGGCAGAGACAGGAGGGTTCCTGGACCAAATTGGTAAGCTTCAGAACCCAATCCTAGTCCCTGTCTGAAAAAATGGGGTGGGGATGGCACACACTTTTAATCCCAGCACCAGGGAGGCAGAGGCTGGAGGATCTCTGAGTTTGAGTGAGTTCCAGAACAGCCAGGGCTTTGTAGTAAGACCCCGTCTCAAAACAAACGGAAAACAGGTGGGGAGCTGGAGAGGTGACTCAGCAGCTAAGGACACGGACCGCTCTTCCAGAGAGAAGTTCCCAGCACCCACATGGCCGCTCCCAAGTGTCTGGAACTCAAGTTCCGTTGGATATGACTCCCTCACACACACACCAGTGCATACAGAAACAAAAACCAGGCTAGATGTCACCTGAGGGATGACGTCCGAGCTTGGCCTCTATACACACACGCACAAATGTACACACACACACACACACACACACACACACACACACAGATCTTATCTGAGCCAGGTGTGGTGACACACATGCCAATCCTCCCAGCTAGTGCAGAGATGGGGCAGGAAAATCATGACTTCAAATACTAGGCTACAGAGTGAGTCTGAGGGCAGTGGGCAACTTAGTGAGACCCTGTCTCAGCCCCATCCCCTCAAAAACAACAGAAAAAAAAAGTCAGCTTCCTGGCCCAGACTCATCTACATGGTACCCAGAACTTACCTACTGACTTGCGACCTTTGCTGGGCTCCCCCGTCTCTGGGGTGAGTGTCAGCTCTCCCCGCAGGAGCAGGCTGTTTTCCTGTGCTCTTCAAACTCCGAACCCAGATGCCTCTCCATGGTCTACGGAGATAAGCCTGCAGTCAGAGGCCCAGGGGAAGGGGCCTCCTGCACACAAATACTCCTGCATTCCATGCTACCTCACGAGGCTCAGCAGGGGTGTGTGCGTTGAGATGGCCCAGGGCTAGGAGGAGGCTACCCCGTAGCCACTGACAGAGATGAGCATGGCACTGGCTGCCCAGGGTGAGGGTGTTCCAGCTGTGTGGCTGGGGCTGTAGCAACTCCTTAGCTCTCCTGAAGAAGAAGCGTTAGGACCCCTGCGTCTGAGGGAGGAGGGCTGGAACCTTGTACAAGGGGCCCGAGGGAGGAAGGTTAAGGGAGACTGCTGGGTCTGAGGAGGAGGGCTGGAGTCTGGGCTGCTGAATTCTGGGATAAACAGGACCTATTCTTTTCTGACTCTTGCCAGGTTTTGGGCCCCCCCAAGCCAGGAGTGTCCCCTTACCTGCTCACTGTCCCTAGTCGTTGTCTTGTCTAAGCTGGTAACAAGCTGTGACCAAAGTTCTCTAATAGCAGACACGCCTCTGTCGACTTTGCCCTGCATGGTGGAGGGGCGGGAGCTGACTTTGTCTTTCTAGGGACTTGGGCAGGGCACAGGGTCTGTCTAGAATGTGCTGGGGCTCTGAGAGCCGGCCTCAGGGGCCTCCCATGAAGGTGGCGGCGGATGGGTGCCAGGACCCCCGTTCTTGCTGGCTTTTGACTTAGTCATATTTATCTCCCCTCCCCAGGTCTGGGCCCCAAAACTTCTTCCTGTCCCCTGGATGCTATGTGGGCCCAGAAGATGTGTGTCCTCCAACTTCAAGGTAAAAGGGGGGTCCTGGGTCTAGGAAAGGAAGCCTGGGGTCTATACCCCATGTTGGAGGATGGCCAGGTCTCATCTCTCTCTCTCTCTCTGAGGTTAGCTAGTTGTCTACTGTCAGGTATTGCAAAGAGATAATACTGTGTTTCTCAGAAGCCTCTGGGACCCTGGTCCTCGGGGAAGCCATGGAAGCTCTGGCCTCTCAGGTTGGAGACTCCAGGCCCCTGGATTGTTGGTTTTTTTTTTTTTGTTGTTGTTGTTGTTGTTGTTTTTCCTCTCAGGCTGCAGACCTCCAGATTCAGGTGACCAAAGAGCCACAGAAGAAGCCAGGCCCTAGCCAGCCGCTGCTGTTTGGAAAGACATTCACAGACCACATGCTAATGGTGGAGTGGGACAAGACCACAGGCTGGAGCCCCCCGAGGATCCAGCCCTTCCAGAGCCTCACTCTGCACCCAGCCTGCTCTGCCCTGCACTACTCCCTGCAGGTGGGGCCGGCCGCTCCCTCCTGTGGCCGCATCTCCTGCTCTGCATCCGACTAAGCTCGCCTGTCTTGCGCTTCGCAGGCTCCTTTCTCTGAGGATCTGTCATCTTTTCCTGAGGTCACCTGTGTTCTGGGACCCAAACTAAGTGACAGTTTGTTCTTAACAACTGTCTCAGCTTGGTTGGAACTCTGTGCTCTGAAAGAAAGTGGGGTTCTCCTGGCAGAGATGAAAACACGGGGAGGGACAGCTTCTGCAGACAGAAGGGCTGGGGTGGCGGTCACTGCGGGGTCTCAGGGTGACAGAGGAGGCCTCGGATGTCACAGCACCACAGAGATGAGGGACTTTGGAGGAGTCTGTGTGAGGACGGAACCAGCCTGGGTATAGTGAGACCCCCTCAGGCGCTGTGGGAAGCTGTGTAACTCCAGCACTCAGGAGGTTGATTTTGAGGCCAGCCAGGGCTGTAGAATGAGCTATAGCAACTTGATTTTCCTGTGACGTTCCTCAAGGAGCCTTGCCCATCTCTGGTGCTGCAGCACGAGGCTCTTGGCAGCAGGTCTCTTCAGACGGACACCTGTTGTTGGGCATCTGAGTTCTTTTCAGTCCTGAGATATTTAAGGAACATTGCAATAACAACTGCCCAAGCCTGTTTCCCAGAAAGAAGCCTTGCCAAACTGCTAGAGTTCTTCCTATAGCCGAAGAGCTTTTAAAAAAGTTCTCAGAGTGATGTTTCCCCCTGTATGTGTGTGGGGGCAGGGATTGACAGGAAGTGTCTTTCTCAATTGCTCTCCATCCTGTTTTTGAGGCAGGGTCTTTTTTTATTTTTATTTTTTGAGACAGGGTTTCTCTGTGTAGCCCTGGCTGTCCTGGAACTCACTCTGTAGACCAGGCTGGCCTGAAACTCACAGAGATCTGCCTGCCCCTGCCTCCCGAGTGCTGGGATTAAAGGCGTGCAGGCCTCTACCCCCATGGACCAGCACCGCTTGGGGATTTTATTGTTTATGTGTATGAGTTGTGTCTGGTATCGCTGTGCATGCAGCCCCTGCAGAGGCCAGAAGAGGGCAGCCGATCCCTCGGAGCTGGAGTTATATTGAGTCACCATGTAGGGGTTGGGAATTGGAACCAGGTCCTTTGGAAGAGCAGCCAGCAGTGCTCTAAACCATTAGGCCATTCTTCCGGCCCCCTAAGATAGACTTTAAAGACTATATAGGAGAACTTTGTATATTAAGTGAGCTTTTTTTCTAAGTGGGATGAGGGTGATTTTGAAACAGGATCTCACCCTGTGGGCCAGGCCTGCCTCACGCTGTCCTTCCCCAGGCGCGGTCTGCCTGTGCCTCCTGTGTAACTGAGGCATCAGGCCTGATCTAAGCGGCTGCCACACCCTGTGCTTTCAGAAGCCTCCGTGTCTTTCTCTCTGTCCGCTCTGCTTTCTGTCTGGATGCTGCGGCACTTAGCCCTGAGCGCCCTCCCCTGCCTACCCCTGCAGCTCTTCGAGGGCTTGAAAGCTTACAAGGGCAGCGACCAGCAGGTTCGCCTCTTCCGGCCATGGCTCAACATGGACAGGATGCTCCGCTCTGCCAGGCGTCTCTGTCTGCCAGTGAGTGTCCAGTCTGCCCAGGAGCGGGCAGGGGGTGGTTGAGGGAAGCTGGCCCTGACTCCACGGGGTCCACCCAGGGCTTTGACAAGCAGGAGCTGCTGGAGTGCATCCGACGGCTCATCGAAGTGGACAAGGACTGGGTCCCCGACGGCAGCGGAACCAGCCTGTACGTGCGGCCCGTGCTGATCGGGAACGAGGTGGGCTTTGCTGCGGAGCGGTTAGGGCGGGGAGCACAATGGCTGAGCCCGGGCTCGAGGGAGGAGGCTGGAGTGTGGACCCCGTGGTCTGACGCCGCCCCTGTGCCCATCACAGCCCTCGCTGGGTGTCGGCGTGGTCACGCGAGCCCTCCTGTACGTCATTCTTTGCCCCGTGGGCTCCTACTTCCGTGGAGACTCCATGACCCCCGTCTCTCTCCTGGCTGACCCCACGTTCATCAGAGCCTGGACGGGGGGCGTTGGAGACTACAAGTTGGGGGGGTAAGTAAGTCCCCGCATTCCTAAGCAGTTGTGCCCTGGGGGAGATACCGGGAAAGGTGAGCTATAGTTGTTGTAATTTAAGAAAAGGGTTGCCAGAGAGAAAGACGCCTACGACAGCGTTAAAGCAGAGGTTTTTTTTTTTTTTTTTTTTTTTTTAATTAGGGAAAGGGATCACAAACGGGGTTGGGGAGAGACCGGCCTCTGGGGATGGGAGCAGGAGAGAGGAAAGGGGGAGAGAAAGAAATGAGAAGGGGGAACAGAGAGAGGGAGAGGAAGAGAGAGAGAGAAGGAGGGAGGTGGGCGGGACCTTCTAAAAGGGAACACAGTGAGTGAGCACAGGTGCTGCTCTGAGTGGCTGCAGCTGAGGGCGTATCCGTCAGAACCCCAAGGACAGGCCAGTGCAGCTGCCTGAATACCAACGACAGTGTTCCCTATTGGTTGGGAAGCTCTTGTCAGGGCTCTGTGGTTTCTCTGGGCTTTCTCTGCGTCCTTGGATAGCCTTGTGTCTAACGTTAAAGGTGAAAGGAGAGCCGGGTTAGGAACAGATAGACTGTTTACCTAGCAAGCGGGAATCCTGAGTTCAAACCCCACTAAGGAAAGAAAAAGGTGGCAACCATTTCCTACCTCCGGGCCCTTGTGAGTGGGGTAGGATCTCAGTTGGCACGAGGGAAGCAAATAAGAGCAGCGTTTGTACAGGGCCCAGAACGCGGCGTGGAATCCGTTCTGGGACAGTGAGGAGTCTCGGGTGAGGCGTGAGTGACGCTGTGGGCATCACACAGCAGGCTGAAACAGACCGGGAGGCTGTGAGCATCACACAGCACGTTAAAACAGACCGGGAGGCTGTGGGCACCACACAGCAGGTTAAAACAGACAGGGAGGCTGTGGGCACCACACAGCAGGCTGAAACAGACCGGGAGGCAGCGTGGGGACACACAGCTATGATCCCAGCACAGGGAGGCAGCGTGGGGACACACAGCTGTGATCCCAGCACAGGGAGGCAGCGTGGGGACACACAGCTATGATCCCAGCACAGGGAGGCAGCGTGGGGACGCACAGCTATGATCCCAGCACAGGGAGGCAGCGTGGGGACGCACAGCTATGATCCCAGCACAGGGAGGCAGCGTGGGGACACACAGCTGTGATCCCAGCACAGGGAGGCGGGGACCAGAGGGTCTGGGATTCAGACTAGCTTCAGCTACACCGTGCTTCTGAGGCCAACTTCTGCCACCAGAGACCTTGCCCCCCAAGCCAGCTGGGTGTGGTGACACAAGTCCTTAATCCCAGCAATTCAGAGGCAGAGGCAGCCTGGTCTACAGAGTGAGTTCTGGGACAGCCAGGGCTACACAGAGAGACCAATGTCTCAAAAAATACAAACCCCCAGAAGCAAAGTAGAAGAAATAAAGTGAGCCAAACCACTGGCATCACTACGTCCGTTATCTTAACTCCCGCGGGTGGCGAAAGGAGCTGGAGAGGCAGGAGAGGGACCCACCAGCCACCCAGGGCCCCAGCACTGACCCCAACTTTTAGGTTAAGAATTCCGGGTGGGGGAGCCCTCACAGGAGGGCTGTGAGCTAGGGAAGGAGACCCCTCGTTGCCTGTGTTGTGGGGAGTGTGGGGGATTCGGGCTGACCAGGCTCCCTCCAGGAATTATGGGCCCACCGTGGCGGTGCAGCAAGAAGCCCTGGAGAAGGGCTGCGAGCAAGTCCTCTGGCTGTACGGGCCGGACCACCAGCTCACCGAAGTGGGCACCATGAACATCTTCGTCTACTGGACTCATGAGGACGGGGGTGAGCTACCCGTGACCCAGCCCACGCCCCGTATGACGTCCTACCTAATTCCCACTGGGTTGCTTGTCCTGGGCATGTCGCTTCTGAAAGACGCCCGTCTGTCATCCCTGACTCAGTGCTGGAGCTGGCGACCCCCCCGCTGGATGGCATCATCCTGCCTGGTGTGGTTCGACAAAGCCTGCTGGACCTGGCGAGGACCTGGGTAGGACCTGTGTGGCACCAGCATCTTGGGACCACAGCATCTGAGCTGGGGTGGAAGCCGGGCCCACTGGCATGCTCTGTCTTCTCTGGGTCTGTTTCCCACGCCCGGACACCTCTGTGTCTCCCAGCAGCTTGAGGGAGGGGGAGGGAGTGGCAGCGGCCCGCACGGGGTGGGAGACGGGGGACCGGAGGGTTTCCGTCCCCTCGTTATGCAGAATGAGTTCCGGGTGGTGGAGCGCAAGGTGACCATGAGGGGACTGCAGCGGGCGCTGGAGGAGCGCCGCGTGCGGGAAGTCTTTGGCTCGGGCACCGCTTGTCAGGTCTGCCCGGTGCATCAAATCCTGTATGAAGGCCAGGTGAGGAGGCGGAGCTGCCGGGGCCGGTGGGAGAGAAAGGGGGCGCCCCATCCTCACGTCTCCTGTCCCCCAGCAACTCCACATTCCCACCATGGAGAACGGGCCGGAGCTCATCCTGCGCTTCCAGAAGGAGTTGAAGGCTATTCAGGTGAGCTCAGCCGGGAGCAACAACCTCTGGTAATGGGGCGCCCTCCCTGGGGCAGGAGCATGCGCACTTTCTTCAGGAGTCTTAGGCCCCTTTGTCCAGTTTCTGACTCCGGGTCCTGAAGAGAGAACCCCTTTTCATGAGCCTCCGGGCCGTTGGCTACAGAAACGAGCCTCCCGCGACTCCCTGGGGCCCCGGCTGTCCCTTTGGCATGACAAGTCTTCCTCCCTTGCCCCTGCCTGGCCTGGAAGGCTCCCTCCCCTGGAGCATTCCATTCTTGTGAGCCAAGAGAGTTTCCAGAGGACCTCTGGGCTCATTTCCCGGTGAGCGGGACCTGAGGTGGCTGGGTCTCCTGGCCCCACGTCGGCGCACACACATTTGAGCTGAAAACGCCTTTTCCCAAGAGCCTTCAAGGCTTTGCAACGCCCGGCCTCGAGCGCCCTCTGCGCCGGTCGGCTGGCCTCGGGGTCTAGGACTACACTCCCCATAAGGCCCTGGGCGCAGCTCTCTGAGCTGTCAGTTGCGACGTTGCGGAGCCCGCTGGGAGTTGTAGTGCGGCTGCCTCAATGCAGCAACTCCGTTGTCCCGCAGTACGGAGCCAGAGCCCACGATTGGATGTTTCCGGTGTGACGCTACCGGCTGCGTCCTCACGGGTTGGATCCGCAGAACCTACGGCATCCACTCCAGCGTCCTCGCTCCCCAGAGACTCACGAGAAGTGCAATAGAAAAAGGTCTGGCCTGGTTCTCCGGCGCCCTCACGTGGTCGCAACACTCCAAAGCCTTAAGGCCGGGACTCAGGCAATTTGGACCCCGCCTGAAGGGTTGGGTCTCAGGGCTCAGATCCGGGAGCTGCTCCGTGTGCTGGTGTTCAAGGGGGGACCTTGGCATTTTCTCTAGCTCCGTTCTCAGGCCGGAACCCCGGTGCTCTCCATGATGCATCCCCCACCCCTCCCCGTCCTTGCTGCAATTTTGAAATAAAATGCCAAAGAACAAGACATTGTCATGTTCAAAGCGACACCCTAGAATCCTGGGGGCTCGGCACATTTTATGTGAGGGATCCAGCTTGGAGGCGTCTCTAACCTGAGGGTTCCTCCTGTACTTTAGCATGGAAGCCCACTTGCTGAATTCTCCCTGCACTCCGGTGCTGGGTGCAGGCTCACAGTAGCCACACCCAGCATCTTTTCCCTTCACAGGGCACTGTGCCTAAGCCCCTGTCCCCGGAGCTCCTGGCTGCTCTGTCCCTTCTTGTGTCTCCCTTGGCCTGACCTCCTGGCCTGGTCTTCATCAGTTCCTATCTGACACCAACGGCTGTTTGTATTCTTGTGCCCGTGGCAACTCTTACAAAGAAAACCTTCAGTTAGGTGGCTCACTTACAGTTCTGAGGTTTAGTTCATTATTTTCATGGCAGCTTGCAGGCAGGCGTGGTGCTGAGAGTCCTACATCTCGAAGATACGGGGGAATATCCCGAGCATAGGAAACCTCAAAGTCCGCTCCCACAGTGACACACTTGTTAGAACAAGGCTGTGCCCCATAGGTTTCCTGCATCTTGATAATAGGTTTCTCTGCCAACACAGTAAGCCATATCAAGCCGAACTGAAAAAGTAAAAACGGGGTTACTTGAACAAAACAGCTCCCAGGTGGGTTCTCCAGAGCCAGAGATGAGGACCAGACAAATGATGCGCCCAACTGAGGCGGGGAGCTTGCATAGCTGGTAGGCAAGGAGCAGTGATGTGCCCACCCACCGCAACGTGGGTTTCTGCCCGAGTATGACTGAAAACGGAACACTCTAGGTGGGGACTTGGGCTGCTGGCCCCTTCAAGGGAGGAGCTGCTGCAGCCGCTTCAGAACTGGCTGTTTCGGCGCCTCTTCTTTGTTGGCGATTCTCTGAGAGGGCGGGTTTGGAGAGAGAGGAATGGGCCTTTCTGGATCAAGCAGGAGTGGGCTAGAGGTTCCAGAGGACAAGATCCACTCCAGCAAAGCTACACCTCCTAATAGTAGCACTCCCTGTGAGATTGTGGGGGTCAACTACATTCAAACTACCACACCCCACACCCTGCCCCCCATAAGCTGGTAACAATATCATAATGCAAAATGCAATTAGTCCAACATAAAAAACCCCCATTGTCTCTCACAGTCTCAACAGTGTTTAAAAGTCCAAAGTTCAAAGTCTCTTCTGAGATACCTGCAATCTCTTAACTGTAATCTCCTACAAAATTAAAAATCAAAAGACAGATCACATACTTCCACCATATAATGGCACAGGATATACATTACTGTGTAGGAAAGGGGGCATAGTGAAATACTTCACCAAAGCAAGACCAAAAACTGGCCGTGCAGTCTCCAATCTCCACATCTGACGTCAAAATGTTCTTCAGATCTCCAGCCCCTTTCAGCTCTGTTGACTGCAGCACACTTCTCTCTTGGGCTGGCTCCTCTCCCTGTCAGCGGCTCTCCTCACAGGTGTCCCATGACTCCAGCATCTCTAACTTCACAGCTTCGCACAGTGGTGCAGGGCCACCTGACACACGCCTGGTCTCTGTCACCTGATTCCATGAATTCTTTCTAATGTCCTTAACTCTAAACCCAGAACCACGTGTCCAAAGCCGCCAAGTCCTGCTGCTTGCTGGGGCTGGAACGTGGCCTCCTCCTTCATTTACGGATTTACCAGCTTTGTGTCTTTTGACTGTCCCGAAACTTGCCCTGCAGATCAGGCTGGCCTCAAACTCAAAAGCCTCTGCGTTCCCAGTGCTGGGATTAAAGGCATGCACCAACCACACCGGCTCTAAAATTTTCTCTAATTCCTTTTTGCAAGTTGGAAGTTACAACTTGCCTTGAGGTCACCACTCCATTTATTCCATTTCTTAATCTGCTCCTTGAAGGCAGGATTTAGTTCTATTCCACTTTTTGCTGTTCCCTTTCTCCCAAAATTTTACTTTTTTTTTTTTTTTTTTGGTTTTTCGAGACAGGGTTTCTCTATTGTTTTGGAGGCTGTCCTGGAACTAGCTCTTGTAGACCAGGCTGGCCTCGAACTCACAGAGATCCGCCTGCCTCTGCCTCCCAAGTGCTGGGATTAAAGGCGTGCGCCACCAACGCCCGGCCCCAAAATTTTACTTTTTTTGTTTTTGTTTTTGTTTTTGTTTTTGTTTTTCAAGACAGGGTTTGTCTGTATTGCTTTGGAGGCTGTCCTGGAACTTGCTTTGTAGACCAGGCTGGCCTCGAACTCACATAGATCCGCCTGCCTCTGCCTCCCGAGTGCTGGGATTAAAGGCGTGCGCCACCAACTCCCGGCACTTGTTTTCATTTTATATATTCATTAGAGTTACCACTGATATCCACACAATAGAATCTACTTAGGCAAGTATAATCTATACTATACTTTCGTCTGCTAAGGGAATTACTCCAAAACTCTCACTTTAACCTCAGGCAAACTCTTCAGACAAGGTCAAAAGGCAGTCACTTTCTTCAAAATTTCACAACAATGATCGCTAGGCCACATATTAATATTATTCTTAGCAGGGCGGTGGTGGCTCAGGCCTTTAATCCCAGCACTCAGGAGGCAGAGGCAGGTGAGTTTGAGGCCAGCCTGGTCTAGAGAATGAGTTCCAGGACAGCCAGGACTGTTTCACAGAGAAACCTTGTCTTAAAAAACAAATAAAAAAGTCTTCTCCTCTGAAATCTCTTGGGCCAGCCCTCCCCCATACTTCATCAAGTCACACTCAGTACCACTGTCTTCCATCCTCATACTGGTGTGGCCCATTAGTCAGTGCTTAAAGCTTTACACAGCGCTCCTAACCCAGACTCCCGAAGTCCATATTGTAGGCATTGTGGAGGGATCAGGTAGGACAGGTATCCTGGCACTCGGGAGTCACAGAATACTGAGTGTTACACAGCTCAGATGGAAAGGTATCCTGGAGCTCGGGAGCCAAGGATTACCACAGGCCCAGTAAGCGTAGCATCTTACAGCCCTGCCTCAGGGAAAGGCTTCCCAGTGGATCAGCTCTGCTCCGGCAGGACAGGGTCTTCCAGCTGGGGATGTTTGCCCAGTGCAGCAGTTTTGCTCCGCAGGAGGTTTGCTACAGTTCAGCTCTGCTCCCGGGAACAACTCGGCTCTGCCAAGGGAAGGTTTCCCCAGCAGCTAGCCCTGCTCTGCCCAGGGTCGTCTCTGCTCTGCTGCAAAGAAGATCGTCACCCAAAGCTCATAGGGGTTTATTGGGAAGGAAGAATCCAGGAGTGGCAGAGGACAGCCGGGTAGCAGGAACAGCTACAAGCTGAACAGTCACAGGGTTTATATAGGGCTTCCAGGGTGGGGATTGGTCAGATTTTAGTGCTGAGCTCAGATTAGCTAGAACTGTGCTCAAGAATTGGTTAGTTTTCTGCACAGGATTAGGGTCAGATTTGGCTCTGGTTTCAGGGCTAAAGTGGCTTTCTTTCTCTGGTCCTTTTTAGCCTTTTGGCTCCAATTTTAGCCAAAATTGGCATTTCTTTCACTGACTCTTATTCCAGGGACGGAGTGTGTTTCTTTGGAACTGGTTTCAGGGTCAGGGTTCATTTCTTTGGTTCTGGTTGCGCGGGGCCAAAGTGTTTTCTTTGGCTCTGCTCAGGGTGTGTTTCTTTGGCTGGTCCCTTTTCCCTACACATATTACTCCAAACAAAAACATGGTCAGGCCCTACCACAATACCCCAGTCCTAGGTACCAACTTCTGTCTTAGTTAGGGTTTCGATTGCTGTGAAGAGATATGACCACAGCAACTCTTATAAAGGAAAAACATTTAATTGGGTAGCTGCTTACAGTTTCAGAGGTTTAGTCCATTATCAAGACAGGAAAGCATGACAGAAAGCAGGCTGAGTAGTCACTGAGAGTCCTACATCCTGCAGGCAACAGGAAGTTGACTAAAACACAAAGACACACTTGTTAGAGCAAGGCCATGCCCATTCCAACAAAGGCATACCTCCTAATAGTGCCAATGGAGTCCTAATTCCCGGACTGCTACATGAGTTTAAGAGATCACAGTACCACATGGGCCTCTCGAGAAAAGAGATTCATACCTGGTACCCAGCTGCGGATCTGGATTCATCCGCTAGCTTTGGTGTTGAGCATGCCGTTTTATCGCTGGTCAAATTAGCTGGAGAGAAAGGAGAGTCTGGAGAGAGAGGAGAGTCTGGGGAGAGGAGAGTCTGGGGAGAGAGGAGAGTCTGGAGAGAGAGGAGAGTCTGGGGAGAGAGGAGAGTCTGGGGAGAGGAGAGTCTGGAGAGAGAGGAGAGTCTGGAGAGAGGAGAGTCTGGAGAGAGAGGAGAGTCTGGAGAGAGGGGAGAGTCTGGGGAGAGAGGAGAGTCTGGGGAGAGGAGAGTCTAGGGAGAGGAGAGTCTAGGGAGAGAGGAGAGTCTGGAGAGAGAGGAGAGTCTGGAGAGAGAGGAGAGTCTGGGGAGAGAGGAGAGTCTGGGGAGAGGAGAGTCTAGGGAGAGGAGAGTCTGGGGAGAGAGGAGAGTCTGGAGAGAGAGGAGAGTCTGGAGAGAGGAGAGTCTGGGGAGAGAGGAGAGAGGAGAGTCTGGGGAGAGAGGAGAGAGGAGAGTCTGGGGAGAGAGGAGAGAGGAGAGTCTGGGGAGAGGAGAGAGGAGAGTCTGGGGAGAGAGGAGAGTCTGGGGAGAGAGGAGAGAGGAGAGTCTGGGGAGAGAGGAGAGAGGAGAGTCTGGAGAGAGAGGAGAGAGGAGAGTCTGGAGAGAGAGGAGAGTCTGGAGAGAGAGGAGAGTCTGGGGAGAGGAGAGTCTGGAGAGAGAGGAGAGTCTGGGGAGAGAGGAGAGTCTGGAGAGAGAGGAGAGTCTGGGGAGAGGAGAGTCTGGAGAGAGAGGAGAGTCTGGGGAGAGAGGAGAGTCTGGAGAGAGGAGAGTCTGGAGAGAGAGGAGAGTCTGGAGAGAGAGGAGAGTCTGGAGAGAGGAGAGAGGAGAGTCTGGAGAGAGGAGAGAGGAGAGTCTGGGGAGAGGAGAGTCTGGGGAGA